CAAATCGCACTCTCGCCTGCATTTCGCGCACTCGACACGCACGATCTCCGCAGAGGGCTGCGCGCGCAGCCGGCAAATCGCACGCTCGCCTGCATTTCGCGCACTCGACGCGCACGATCTCCGCAGAGGGTTGCACTTTCGGTTGACGCTGTTCGTCCCGCACTCCGCCTTTAAGAGAGAACTTATAAAGTGGGGAAATGTTTTTTCATTAGGACATCTCCCGTGCTAGTTTTCCATACTCACACTTGCCTACTCACTGCGTGCTTGCATCTTGCATACTCACCCTTGCATATCATGCTTGCATACTTACACTTGCATACTTTGACACTGGCATACTTCGCACTTGGATGCTTTCGCTCTTCCAGTGTGCGTGTGTGTGTAAGTGTGGAAATGTCAGTGTGTAAGTGTAAGTGTCGAAGTGTCAGTGTTCAAGGGATTTTCCGGAAGAACCCTTCGCAGTGCTTTCGGGAAAAACAAATCCGACGCAAAAACTTGCAAAAGGTGATGCTGTGCCAGCCTACAGGAGGTCTGGCTCGCCTTACAGAAACATGGTTGCAAGCTGGTTTGCTAGTCACAAGCCTTCAAGCACGTAGTCGCCTATACAGTGGATAAAGCCTGAGAAGGAGACGTTCTGAAGGACCTTGGTGACCTTGCCCCTTGTGAAACCCAGGAGGGCTGCTCCTTCAGACGCAAAGCAGACTGAGCGCAGGTGTAGATGGACGTCCTGAGGTGCTGATAAAAAAAGGGTGCCGTGAACTTTGTTGGACACCATGAGCACCTCATGAGCCTTATGAGCGTAGCATACCCCATTCTTTGCTAGTCCTGCTAGTCGTTTTTGTTGTGGGTTCGGAGTGAGTCTGTGGCAGGGGCCTGGCGGACAGCCAGCTTTCGTAGTCGCAGCGGATCGACGAGCCGGAACGCCAGTCTATTTGGTCCAAACATTCCTGCAGATTGAAAGATGAAAAGGGGCCCTGAAGCCAAATACAATGTTCAATCGTGTTTCAAGATGTTTCAAGACTGCCTGTGCACTGCTGTGCGATGTCCCCAAGACCAACAGAATTCAATCAACATGCCAAGGCCAAGCGTGTAGCAGTACTGGTGCCTGGGACCCAAAGTCCTGGGGACTGCGTCACGGACCTCAAGGCCTTGCCCGTCCGCGTGGTGGCAGATGGCAGGCGCGCGGTTCGTTTGTTTGCGCCTTCACGACTCGATGGGACCTGCAGTGCAGATGGTGCGTGAAAAATGGTGAGAAGTGAGAAGCAGATTGAGACACATAGAGACTGAAGGAAACTAAAGGAAACCTCAGATTGCACCACATTGGTGTGGAATTGTGACCAGTGCATGAGTCTATTGCAGCTTTAATTTCTGCGTGGTCTGGCAGTTCTGTTGGCTGGGTGCATCGTGGCATGATGCGCCAGGCTGGCAACTTGTAGTTTTCAATGAACTTACTTTCTCTCTCCTCATTCGGCAATGAAAGGAGCTCCAGAATGCTACAGTAATCGAACTCATAAGGGTTGTGGAGAAGCCGCTGTGAAATCGCTGTGCCAAACCCTATGAAGAAACCGAAAAGCACGTTTATATACACGTTTTTTTAAAACCATGGATATATCGGTAGCTTGGTGCTACAAAGGAGTATGTGCTATGTGTTTTGACAACTTCCCGTCTGAGAAAGGGATTCCCGATGTGTTTTTGGAGCGTCCTGTGCTTGTGACAGGCATGTGCGATTGTGCGCATTGTGGGGAGTGCGCTGGAGAGGTTCGAGAAGGATGGCTACGAGGTGCAGATCATTCGCCATTCGATTGGTTGCGTAGATTCATGTGTTTATTTGTTGTTTCCTTCTGTTTTGTTCTTTGATTTGGTGAGTTGCTGCGGGAAAGGACGCTGAAGGGCTGTGGAAAGACTTGCCAGATGGTATTTGATAGCTCTTCGGATCTTGATGTCTGGTTGGAACAGGTGCTTTTCATTGGCCACTCCTTGGGCGCAGGCGCTTTGGCCATAGGTTTTCAAATTGTTTGGACAAACTGTGTGCTTTGTTTTGTCTTTGAGCGGGTTCTAGATTCTAAACTCTAAGCATGTTTTGTTTTTTGGAGCGGCGCACCTAACCTTGGCCGGGAAAGTTGCAGAATGACCAATAATGGGTGTTTTGTTGGCAGGTAAAGGGAAAGGACATCCAATTCCACCCCGACCTTGGCCAGGAGTTTCTGCAATTGCCGGGGCCATTTGCCGCTTGGGAATTGAAGGTGTGAAGTTGAAGAAGGCACAGTCTCACCAGTCTCGACCGCAAACTGCACATTACAATTGGTGCTCAACAATAAGTCAACTTGCCAATCATGTGTTGTGTGCATGTTTGGAATTGACACCAGGTTTTGCTGCAGAATTGGACAACTTTTTGATTTCATGCCAAGTGATGGGCCTCGCTCTCGTTCAGATCTCGACAGGTCAGAAGCCTTTGCTATGCTACGCCAGCGGTTGGAAATGGTGCGGCTGCCTTTTGGTCGATCGATGAAGATGGCTTTACCCCCCCCGGGCAGCACACGCACCATTCAGTACTGACAAACATCTCAGGGTGGGGGATGTGGAGAGCCAAGCAGTAGGCTGCACCGCAGAGGATGCCAATCCGCCCTGCCTTGGCTTATTTAGTGTTGTCTTCACGACAGGATCTCTCTCCCTCTCTCTCCCTCTCTCTCTCTCTATATATAATATATATCACTCTCTCTCTCTCTCTCTCTTTATTCTTTACTCACTCTACTTCTGATGTGATTGTTCCCGGTTTTCTTGTTCACCCCCCTTATGCGAGTTAATTGTAGAATAGGTCCATTGGGTTCTCCCTATCCCCAGTTTGTTCTCGTCAGAATTGTTTTCCGCCAATCTGTTCATCACCTCGTCGTTTGCCCTTTTCGGCCGAGGTAGCTTTGGGAAGTTTTGCGAGGGCCACGCTGTGACGGTCATCAATTGCGAGGACATTGCATGGACCCCCAGGTCGCTCCACGGCACACCGCCAGGATCGGATCAGAATCGTGCGTCGGACTTTTTCATTGATATTCAAATTTGGTCATTGTGGAACTGTGGAACGCCTTTCTATGTTCCCCTGATTGGGTGAATAGCGTTGAGGTCAGCTTGGTCCAAGTTGAGCCTTAATTGCCCCATGTTGGGCAAAATGTGAGCACAAGTTGAGGGCAAGTAGCCGCAAGTTGAGGGCCACTTGGCGCCAATGTTGGCCCAAGTGCCCGACATGGGGCATTTTGGGCCCGTTTAGGGTGAAGTTGGGCCCAACATGATGCAACTTGGGCCTGGTTTGCGTTCAAATTATATACTTGGATTCAGTTGACACAGCATGTTAGGTCGTTAGGTTCAATGGGCTCAAGCTGGTTTTTGTTGGCGGCCAAAGACCGAAAAGCAATGAAAAACATGTGTCAAAAACTGCAGTTTGATAAAATTTCACAAGGCAACATCTTTGGAACATGAGCTCAGCTTGGGATCCATTTGGACCAAGCCCAAGTTGGCCGAATTTGACCCCAAGATGAGTCCATGTTGGGAAGAATTTGCTCCGAAAACCTCGAACATCGATCTACTTTGTAACTTTGTAAAGAACTGTCAGAAGGTGCCTCAGCACCTTCGGCACTGGCGGATTTGCTGTATGTTGCTGTGACATTATTTCTTGAGTGCTAGCTGCTCACGCTTTGCTCAGAATCCATTAAGGGCCACCTCAGCTCTGCCAATGAAAGCTGTATAGCGTGATGGCCACGCACAGCAAGTGAAGGAGTTTGCATGATGCCACCTGAGGCACCTCATACCACGCCGAAGGATCCGATGCCGCCCAGGTACCCCGGCTCAGCATCGAGACCGCGAGGAAGCTGCGGGAAGAGCTTTCGTCCCGCCGTGAGGTACGAGATGGCGACATTACGGAGCGCACGGTGCACATGCGCATTTTCATGTCAGGCCGTGCGGCTCTTTGTAGCTGAGGACGGGTGCGTTGTTTGGTTTTTTGTGCGTTCTTTCCTTATTTCGTGCGTTGTTCGGTTGAGTCAGATTGGAGCCACCGGGTGTTGAAATCATTCCGATTGATGCCGCGACACTTGGAGTGTGGTATGTCCAATATTTGTGTACCCAATGCCGCTGCATGCCGCTGCTACTGCAGGATATTGAAGCTTTGAAGGATATCAACAACATAACGGAGAAGAAGACGTCACCGGCTTGAAGGGACTTCCATTTCCCTTGGGTGGATCTGGATGGAAAGATGCACAGGGACAGATCCGGCCAATATTGGATGAGGTCATATGAGGTCAACATGTTCTCAAATGTGCTCTACTGTATCGTTCTCCTAAGGTCGTCAGTGAAGGTTGTTTTGAATAGTTTTCACCAGCTCCCCGGTGCGCAGTCCAGGGTCGTCTGGCAGCTTGAGGGGGGCCACCTCCGAGACAGTCGATAACCCGTTTTGGGTTTCGTCTATCCGTGGTAACTTTCTTTTTGATTGTATTGTCCTCAGGCGAAGCAAGAGTGCTAGCTTGACAGCAGCGGAGGTGCAGCAGGGAGAGGAGGCCGCCAAGGACAGGCAAATGTGATCAAATGTGGCAAATCTAGCGCCAAAGACTTCCAACTTCTTGCGAACCAGAAAGAACAGCGTTGTTGATGGACACATTTTTGGGTTCAGATTGGAAGGCCCTGGTCTACTGTAGCAGGTTGGAATCGTGGCAGGAGCTGGCGGAATTGGGCATCCCAGCACCACAGCCAGGCACCTCCGCCAAGGCAAGAACCTTCAAACCCAGCTGCGTTTCAAGGGCAAAGGTGTCTAAGCCGCAATGGCTACCCACATGTGAGATTGTATTATTGATCATGGTGATCACGGTTCAGATCATTAGATCATCCGGAGATTCATTGTGGTGACATCAGCTAGGGGGCCCTTTCTGGGACTTGGCAGGTGGCGGTTGAGGAGTCAATGGAGGCCCTGCTCGAAACATGTTTGTTCCGGCTTAAAGACTGTACATAGCTGAAGAGATAGTGATGGCCTCCGACCTACTAGCAATGGCCTCCAACCCAAGAGCGATGGCCTCCAACCTACTAGCGATGACCTCCAACCTACCAGCGATGTAAGAGCGATGGCCTTCATAGATAGTTGCCAGCAAGTGTGATTTTGAAAACTCCCGTGGCCTCCAAAGAGCTGATACGCACAGGCGAAGGCCAAGAAGGTTTGGACCTCGAGCTGGCGGGCTAGAAAGCATTGGACTGCCACTTGTGATTCAGCCTGAGGTTCGCAAGCAGAAAGGCTTTTTGTGTTGCACCACCGCGCAAGAGGACCTGAGGGGTCATGGGAAGTACTCAGCTACCATGCGTTAGGACGACAACCAATGGATGTGAACATGTCAATAAGAGTCAATAAGCTAGTCACTGCTAGTCACAGATCTCTCCGAACTGACAGTGACAATGCCGAAGCTGGACTTTGAGTGGAGGGAAACTAGTACCGGCGCACACTACCCTCCACAGACGCATGATCATTCGCAATGTGCCATTGGATCGAAGTGATTCAGAAGAAGGACCCACGCATTGAACAGCTTGGCCCACACATGTCCGGGTTGTGGTGATGAACTCTGAGGCAAATGGCATGAATATGATTTGCGAATGCAGGCTGTCAGATAGAAAGTTACAGGTCGAACGGTCGAACATTGTACATTGGACGGTGCAATACGGTGCATATGCTTGAATACCCTCCTGCTGGGTATCCCTTCAGGTTGCACCATACATCCGTGGGTTCCACACCGTTCGAGCGCCATGGTGGCATCAAGCCCTGCGACCTCAGCATCAGAGCTTACTTCGCCGGCCGCGAAGTATGAGCGCTTGGAGTCGAACATTGGAGAAGGAACCTATGGAAAGGCCACGACCAAACTCATGGTGTCTCATCCCTTGATCCTAGACTTGATCCAGTAGCCTTCACATCACTTGTGCCAGGTGCACAAGGCATTTCACATCAAGACCGGACAGATCGTGGCGATTAAAAAGGCCAAGGAATCTGCTGCGGACCGCGATGTTGGCGGCATTGGATTTACAGCCTTGAGGGAGGTCAAGGTGATGAATGCCATCAGACATCCCAATGTGCTGCTTGGCAGATCATGTGGAGCCTTCAGAACAAAAAGGATCAAAGAATGACCTGGCCTAACAAACTGAGGGAATGGGGCTGGATTAATGTTTGTTTCTTCCCTTACTGCATTTGTATTGTAATAGGACAGGACCACCTGAGATGGAAAAGGACAAGGGGATTGGCGGTTCCAAGCTTGAGACACACCTTCAACCTGGCATAGTCATTTTCAATATGGCACCGGAAGCGAACCTGTACCATTTGCACGGAGAAGACGTCAAGAGACAAGTCAAATGAAGGGCTTTTGACACACCCCTTCACACGTCAAGGGCAACAGAAGGCAACTGATGTGCACAGATGTCCCAGGCCTTGCTATGTTTTTCAACCTTAGGATGACTTGCCTTGATGTCTTTGTGGAGGGTGGCGCTCTACACCTGGTCATGGAATTCATGGATGGCGATCTCAAGAAGGTCATCGAGGATGCTGTTTCCATGCAAACTGGATCATAGTGTCAGTGTGGTGTGTGGGCTTTTGCTTCATGCCTTGATGCATTGAGCCAAACCAAAGGTTGGTTTCCTCTGAATTGAGAGTGTAGTACTAGTACCGAAACCTTTGCTTCCTGGTGTAGTGCTACATGACATGGTATGCCTAGTATGCCTACCAGGGCCTACCAAAAAAAGGATCTACAGCAGGTGTGTCCCCGATGGGTTTTCGATCAGGACAAGTCAGTGTTCCTGACGGAGTCACACTGCAAATGCCTGGCGCATCAGGTGCTTCAAGGTTTGCAAGCGTCTCTTGGAATGGCGAAAAAAGTGGTGGAATGTCTTGTACCCTTCCAAAACCTCGTTTGTGTATGTTTGTGTAGCGAATTCCGTTCTTGAGGCATTTTTTTCTCCAGAGAAGCTTACATGCGCTTTATGTTTTGGAGGTTGTGGCCTCCAAAACCAAGCATGCTTGCCAAAGCAACAAAGACTCTGAGGTTACATGAACGCTTCTTTGTGCATCGAGCCACTTGGCAGGGTTTGGTGTTTGGCAACCCGGGTGCGGGTGCTGTGCGTCAGCATCACCCATATATAATGGGCTGCGTTAGGCTTGGCTGGCTGCTCGAGATATCCGACCAAGTTACTTTGCGTTGATGTAAGTTGCTTCGGCCTTGCTGGAAGGCCAGAGTCACTAAGTTACTAAGGATGTGACACCAAACAATGTGCTTTTGAGCTATCACGATGGCACTGCGAAGCTCAGCGACTCAGAACAGGTTTGTGAACATGCCAGGAGAATTCAGGAAAGGGAAACCATCTTCTCGGAAAGCACCGGCGAGTGTCTTTGGGTTGCCTGTGCAATGCCACAGCTGTGTACTATTGCCCATCTAACAGTGGATCACAGTGGCAAAGTTGTATGAAGTGAAGTTTCATGCGCGTTCTACATATTTCCGCATGCTTGTTTTTGCTTGGGAGCCCTCTGAGAGCTCGTTGTTAGCTCTAAAACTGTGAGGTGACTTCGGCTTCGCACGGTCCATCGGCGAGCGCCCGATGACGGGGATGTGCACGACGCTGTGGTACCGAGCACCGGAGCTGCTGTTCGGTGCCAAGTTCTATGGACAAAGCGTGGACCTTTGGAGCTTGGGCTGCGTGGTGGCAGAGACGATGCTGCGGAAGCCGCTCTTCCCGGGTCGCGGCGAATTCGACATGCTTCAGAAGGCAGGCGAGATGGCTAGGCATGGCTAGGCTAGACTCTGCAAGGCACAAGATGTTGTGAAGACTAGCGGCCAGAAAACAAGTGAAGAAATCTAAATTGGCATTCTGCTCCATCATGGCGCATGTCTTCGCATTCCAAACCTCATGTTGCTGCATAGAGATAATTCCTGTCAATTTGACACTGGAGTAGGGATATTCATTTGGCAGGTGATTGAACGCCGTGGCACTCCATCAGAGGAGGTTTGGAAAGACGTCTCAGCACTGCCAAACTTCCTGGAATTCACACCGCACCCAAAAGAGACTTGGGCCTGAAAGTCCCGCGAGCATTTGGTTGTCATGGCATGGATGCTCTGCAGTCTTGCGGTTTTTGGCAATATGCACGCGCCATAATACTTCTCACATCTTCTCACTAATTCCCTTGGTTCTTTTCCACACCGAGAATTTGACTGAGAAATCCATCAGTCATTTGGTCCACCAAAAGAAACACGATATGCTGATATGCATCACTAGAACGGCACGCTATTGCCACATCGTGGCTGGACGGGGAGTCTCACCTTCCAGCCAAGGTCTCCCTCTCGGAGCTCCCAGAGCTCCGAGCCTTCTCGGAGGCCTCGCAGCGGTTCCTTGACGCCTTACTGACTTTGGACCCCAAGCAGCGGCCCAAAGCAGCCGAGGTGGACTAAGACGCGACATCACGGGATGGGAGATCTGACATGGGCGGTACACTTGTCGAGTAGGGCTGAGTAGGAGCCCGGACATGTCAAGAAACAAAGACGTATGCCCGAGAAGAAGCTGAAAACATCTGAAAACCACTGGTTTGTGGATGAATTTAATTAATCTTCCCCCAGTGCATTTTCAGGTTCCAGGTTCATCTTCCCGGATGTAGGAAGAGAACTATCTTAGTAGCTACCTGCGTGTGATGTATTCTTCTATGTAGCAATTGCATGTTCAATGTGTCAACAGTTCAATGTGTCAACATGTGCAGTTTTCTTTCACAGGACCTTTCGTTGCAGAAGCAAAGCATAGCAAAGCGTAGTGCATGTCGGGTTGGCAGGCTTTGGAGCATGAGCTCTTCAAGACTGCACCATTAGCATGCTTGCCACAAGAGCTGCCGTTCCTTAAGAGAGGCGCCTGATGGTGACGCTGACAAAAGGAGTGGGCAAAATGCATAAGCTCAGAAGAGATCGACATGGTAGCTGCTTTCTGGAGATGTTGGGATGGGATGCTGCATTTGAAAGTGTTTGCTATACGTGCAACTTGCCTTTAGGCAAGACTATATTTCCTGTGCAAGCAAGAAAAAATATCGTGTGTCATACATGCTAGCTCCAGCTAGCTTGAAGTGTCTCTGCAGAAGTTGGCAGGATGGCCAAGGCCCAAAGCCTGAAAATAATGTAGAACGCACTGGGCTCAACTTCACGGTTTGTTTTGGTTGGAAACCACTTCACCGAGGTACTGTAATATTTTATGTCACCTACGGCTAAGTGTACCGTAGACACATTACCACAACCACCGAGAAAAGAACCGTCTAACTACAGGTGCACTATGCCTTCTCACTATGCCTTCTCACCATGCTGCAGCAAAACCCACCAGCCACTCCACCAGTACAAACATTGACGTCTCCAGCCGCTTTAATACATGCTTCAACCATCTTCAACCTATCTCGTCTTTAGAGGGAAACTTTAGACAATCTGTTTCACCAACCATAAGATTTGCCGCCTGACCGCGAAAAGCAACCAACGGTCACGGCCCTACCACTTGTATGTTTGGACATCTCCCCCTAAGGCCCTAGCTCCTTTCGTTCACACTCTTCTGGTCCCAAGTGCTGAGTGTGGTGGCCCTTTTCTCGCACATCTCCTGGACTTAGATTTCTGAGCTGGATCAAGATTGGCAAAGACGGCCATGGCGGCTGAAACTATCGTCTCTCTTTTCTTGGTGATTTTCTCTTGCTTCTTGGCTTGGAGCTGCAGTGACTCAACACGAACATGAGGGACGGACCCGCAGAATTCCCCTCATTCTGAGGCTTTGGCCTTTTCACGGTCGCACCTTGGAATGATTTCAGGTCACTGAGAGTCCAAAATAGGAGTGCTCTGAAGTCAGCGGGGTCAACATGGGCAACTATATAACTGTACTGGTACGCAGAAGAATCCAGCAAAACACCTGTCGGCTAAGGTCATACAAAGTGTTCGTGGGACCTGCCGGATACAAGCGCACAATGGGGTCGAATACAGTTCGGAAAAGGATGTGCTGGTCTATTAAGATCGCAGAGCACGTTTTCCCGTCCTCAAGTCCGCCATAACACCCGCCACATAGACAGGGGATGATGGGCTGGGACTGGAGCTGACTCCAAGAGCAGAAGCAGTCTTGAAGGCCAAAGTGCTAACGTGTGAAAATTAAGGCCAAGCTATTGCCTGCAAGCGTGGCTTTCGTTCTGATCAGCCAAATCATTGCGTGGGGATTGTCGCGCGGCAGAATGTCAAAAGTCTAGTGCGGTTTGACAACAGTTTTGCTTTATGGCTTTCTTTGGCAAGCCAGTAGCTCCCGGAGCAAGAGAACAGAGCTCCAACATAAGCCAATGCGCTCGAGCACTGCATGCAAAACTAAAACAGCATGGGCATTTGATGTTTTGCAGCAGGGACTTTATTTTTTTGGTCATTTGTGTAAACATCTAATGACACGGCAAGCTCCACACAGTGCAATGCAAGGAAGGGGGAGCAGGAGGGGCCAAGTTGGATCGAGTGAGATCCTTCACGACGAAGCGAAGCAAGTGCACTGTGCATTTGCTGCATTTTCCTCAGGAAAATGTCTCTGGCAACGAACAAGCAGAGCATGGCAGGCCTATCGTCCCTATCGGCTCTGGCGCCTTGGTGGGGGAAAAAGCACGAGAAAGCTAACAGGGTGGATAGGAGGCACTTTGCCTTGACATTCCCACAAATGGGATCAAATGGGTTGTCATCCATTCCTAAGCAGAAGTGGCTAAACTCAGATAGACTAAAGACGAGCCTTTTTGTTGCCCCTCACCGGTCCAATGCGTGATAGTGGCCTATTGGGGCCAATGTGCCTTGTTCACCAAGGTGCCACAGCGGTGAGGACTCTGTCTCAAAAGAGGCTAAAGATGAGCCGTGACAAACCCAGAGTAGGCTCTGAGCCGGTTCGGCTATATAGTTGGGGTTTGCTGGCTGAGTTCGGCTTTGGACCGTACCGTTCGGTTTTGGAGCGTGCAGTGGAGATGAGCATGGCAAGCTATAATCAACATGCAAATGTTAATAAGTACGCCCCCACGATATTCATTTTGTACATGCCTTCATTTGCGCTTCGTGTATCGAAGCTTGCTAGATTTGCTACGGGGATTAGCAATCCACAATTGCGATCAGCAGGTAGCATGATGTATTTTTCAGCTGCTGTTGTTTGCAGGAAAGCTGGTTCGATACAGTTGACAGCTTGAGGAGAGGGTTGGGCACATAGCTATAGTGACTATAGTAGGTTTGGTTCTTTGGTATCTCCTTGCCTTTTTGGTGCACCTGATCCAGGACCATTGCAGCTCCAGATCTTCAACAATTAGGGCTACCTTTGCGGTTTGCACGCGAGCTTCTGTCACTGGCAGGGGCGAAAGGTGGAGCTGGTGATGCGCCACCCCCACCACCTCCAGCTCTTGCAAAACGAGCTGCTGGCTATATAGTTGGGCAGCCGGTTTGGCCAGCGTAGAGGTGGCTTCTGTACCTCTACCTGTCAATTGATTCTAGCATTCGTGAGAATTGTGTTTGGGGTGTTAGAGAAAAACTTGTAGATGGCTTCGAAGCCAGCTATTCCTGGATGCCCAGTCCGCCAAGTTCACTAATTCGATTGGCAAAAAGCCCTAGAACGAGCAGCCTCGCTTTTGATCGCTTGATAGCTTCAAGCAGGCTTTGCTCTTAATTCGCCCAAGAAGATGCAGTGATGCGCCCTTTGCTCAGCCCCTTTTTCAAGTAAACAACCAGCAAAGCTAGAAGCAGACCTGCAGTGACCAGTGGGAAGTGCTACGAGACCCTCGTGGGTCCGAGCAGGGGGGCATTTGTCAATTTTCTCGCCAGCTGAACGGTGCTGAATGTAAGAGGGATTTTGAGTGAGCAGGTGATCCTAGGGTCCTAGACTTATTTATGATTTAAAATCTATGCACTATTTGTTTTTTTTTCTCTCTCTCTCTCTCTCATTCATATGCAGCAAAGCTGGAATGGCGTGTTTAGTCGCATGCGCACACGGCTGCATGCTTGCATGTATGTGGAAGGCTGCTTGACGTCTTCCTCCAGCCTTCCACCGATTTTCAGAGCTATCTTGTATTGTCATTGGACAGCAGGATTTGCTCCCTTCTGGCCCTTCTGACAGGTGTGCACAGCCACACTCGCAGCAGGATGGGGCACATTGCTGATGTGGAACAGACCCCATTCTGCGCACCTTTCAGACCTGTCAGAATTTGTTGGACGAGTGTAGCTCTTTACAGGAGGCACTCAAACAAGGCAGTGCTGGTGAGGCTTGCAGGTTTTGACACTGTCATTCAGTTTCCTCCTTTTCACTGCAGGTTATCACTGTCGCTTTGCCATGAGCTGTGTTGCTCTTGGCATGACCTGTGTGACTAGGACTCAGAGCCAGAAGCAGAGGAGGCTCCACCAATCCCAGACAGAATTAACCACGTGAAACACGATTCAGAAACAAGGTCTAGGCCACATGATGCCACATGTATCTAGGAGATCGACGACTTGCTGGAGCCAGATGATACCGACCCAGCAGATGTGTGGAACTTAAGGGAAGCGTGTTTCCAGGTGCGTCCTGTGTACAATGATTACAATGTGGAGCTTGAGTGGAAAAGTTTTATCTACTTTTTCTGCAAAATCTAGGAACCAACTGAAGGGGAGCTTCCTTGAAACAGCACGAGCTACCCTGCGTCCTAGTGAGCGCCCAACTTATTAGCCACTAACTAGCTTGCGGCCTCCCCTCCCCGGGCGAAAAACACACATAAACAAAAGACAAAAAGGCCCCCGGAAGGCCTCTTGGATCCCTTTTGTCAGTTCCAGTGCCACGCGTTTTCCTTAGATTCGCTTGGTTCCACCGGGCCGCTTGCTGCATTTGGCACGGCATTCTGGAGCCCGTCGTGCTTGGTGGATCAGACGCAATCATCCTGCCTCTTGGAACAAATGAGAAATGACTTTGCCGTCCAGCATGCTTGTGCATGAGGAATATTTTAATATTTATGATTTTTATCTTTTTGCTGACAGATTTTACCTATATATTGAAATCATATGAAACCATCGAATTGTCCAAGGTGCTGCATCGGATTCAGGTGCACCATGGTATTGGCACTGACCTTTGCTTGTCATGTGTGGCTGCACTTCTGATCTTTCAGATGGTTTCGGACCGGTTGGGACCGCGTCGGACTGTTTGAGCCCGTCGGAAAGGCCAAGACCACTCCGGCGACAGTTATCGTGAAGGCTTGCAGGAGGCGAATCACGAAGAACCACAAAGTCAGAACAAGAGACACTGAAAGTTAACATTCTTTGGAAACGGTGTTTGCATCGTGTGACAAGGAACAAACCTCATCATCCGTCTCTTAGTCTTAGACATTGAGACTGTTTTCTTTTCATGTTTTCATTGTTCATGCCAGCAAAGGCCCTTGGTCGCCTTGACGAAAAATGACAGCACTGTACAGGCGTTGCTCGCTGCCAATGGCATTGTCCCGCAACCCTGGGCTCCAGTGGACCAAGCTGCTGTGTGTGCCACCCCTCAGATTCTGAAAGGGGAGGGAGTCATCCAAAATGACTCAGATTCTCAAAGAAACCTTCTCTCTCTCTCTCTCCCCCTCTCTCTCTCTCTCCCCCTCTTCCTCCCTGAAGTTCAATTTATAAGTTGCAACTGGGAGTGATTTGTGCCATGCGCCCGTCGCTCTTTTGCATATCCAAAATCTCTGTTCACATCATATTTTGTTCAGGAGTCTTAGGTGTTGTGACTTTCATCAAACTGGGGGTGCAGGTTGGTTGGTTGGTTGGTTGGTTGGTTGGTCATGTTTGAGTTGATCGATTATTTTATGTTATTTCAATGCATCCTTTTCTGTTTCGCCATTTTTGAGTCAGGTCAGGTCAGTCGGGTGAGTTGGTGCAATCGTGTTCGAGGCGCCTGCTGCTCCACAGACTTCGTGTGGTCCACAGTGCTCCGCTCTGAGCCTCATCGCCTAGCAGCTCGCTGCCGGTGTCCCTTGGCCAAGTCAGACATGTAGGGAAATTGCCATGCGGAAATCGTTCAGTGTGCAGCGAAGGTCTGATGTTTGATCAAGTTTCAACATACCTTGTTACCTTGATTTACCTGGAGATTTGCGAGTGGTTGAATGAGAATCTCATCCATGATTTGTTCTCATGTGCTTGTGCAAGACTTGCAGCCTCACAGTGACAGGCCATGCCTGTGGTGCTGTGGTATGTGATGGCTGCTCGCAGCGCAAACAAGCCTTGCCGAAGGCAGTAGGAGATTCAAAGCCAATGTTGCAATCCTCCTTGCATAGAGATGCTTTGTGTCCTGGCAGGTGGGCATTCTGAGAGAAGTGCGAGTTTGTGATAGATGTTTCTTAAAGCCATCAGCTTTGAGATAGCATTGCTAGGAGGCTTAAGAACCTCCTCCCTCCTTCTCTCATGCAAGTCCATGGTTGTTCGCATTGTTGCTTTGAAAGTGATACTCATGTTGAGGGTGATGGTCCGGCCCATTTGTCATCCGTCCCCTGGCGCAAAGCGCTTATCTTAATCTTTGTCCCACCAATAGGGCCACCGCAAGCCACAAGGCGTGTAAGGCGCGCCTGGGGGGTCAGCGAAGTTTGCCCTCCAAGCGAAATCGCCTGAAGGCCCTCTCACACCAGCTCAAGGTCATCAACTGTTCGATTTGCCTTGAGATTGTTTGCTAGAATCGAATTCTCTTGGGCCTTGTGTGAGAGGCGCTGCTTAGAAGTTCGTGCTCGAAGCGGCACAAAATCACTTCGACGCTCCTCATCCTTAGGTGTAGTCATATTACAGTATGACTATATTTAATATGCATACTGTACTTTATGCAGACTTTGAAGGAACCTTTAACATTATTGACTGTTGAGCTTGCCAAGGTGCACATACACATATACTTTATGCAACAACAGGGCCATGGGCGCACTGGTTAGCTGGATGCGAAATGCCTCTGGTTTTTCTCCCCACAAGAACGGGGCATGTTGACAAGAACATGCTGAAACACATCCGTTTGAAAACACACGTTTCACAGACAACACTATGAGGTCGGCACATATTCCACCCTCAAATCTATGGGTGCCTTCTTTGACAACTGGCATGTCTCCATCCGCCCACTGGGTGCATTTCACGGTCTTACGCGGACGTGGGTGAGAAGACAGGAGAAATAGAGCACCAACACCGGCACTCATTGCATCCTTCAGAGATCTTCAGAGCAAAGACATTTTGAGTTGGTTTTGTGTCCCGATTTTGGCCACCCCTTTGTTGCTTGTACGTGACTTACAATTCATGAGTGCACTTCCGCAATTTATTTACAGCCTTCGACATGCCGCCGGCCACCAGCTCGAGCCCGCATTGGCAGGCAGCTTAATGATACAATACCCTGCTCAATCATACTTGTTGGTGCATTGGAGGTGCACATTTGGCTACTTGTTGGTGCATTGGAGGTGCACATTTGGCTGGGTGAGTTTGTTGATGTTTATTTCAAGGTTGTTTGACCATGAAATGGGACAAATCGGAATCAGAGGTTGTCTATTCTGATCCAGCGATCCGAACCGGCATGTCTCAGTCGAATCACCTAAGAGGAACCAAGTGAAACCAACACAAGCAATGCGAACCAAGACTATCCACAAAACATAACCTTGAAAACGATTCTTCTTCCAAACTACTTGGCCGTGTGCATGTTTTCCTTTTCAGATCTTTTTTTCGACCATCTCGAGGGATTGCGACACGCACCAGATATTCTTTTTCACACACAGAAGGCTTCAAAGCGACCGAAGAATTTCTAGATCTGGCATGATTTGTCGTTTTTTCTCCAAACCGTTTGAAATGAAAGACCCAGAATGACATCGAACAACAATACCCTGCTCAATCAGACTTGTGGGTGCATTGGAGTTGCACATTTTGCTGGGAGAGTTTGTTGCTGTTGATTTCAAGCGAAGTCGTTTTACAATGAAATGGAACGAATCCGAATCAGAGGTTGTCTATTCTGATCCAGCGACCTACTACCTACTACCTACTACGTACCACCTACTACCTACTACCTACGACCTACTACCTACTACCTACTACCTACGACCTACGACCTACGACCCACGACCTACTACCTACTACCTACTACGTACCACCTACTACCTACTACCTACTACCTACTACCTACTAGGGGAGGGGGGGGGAGGGGGTGAAAGAGTGACTAGGGCGTACACGGTTGAGGTGCAGACCGCTAGTGTCTTTTATGCGCAGAGTCTTATCCTCTTGAGCCTTATGGCAGTCAAGTATGGACACACTAGATAGGCCACTGGAGTGGAACCTGTACAAGTAGGCCTCTACATTTCAGCAGGCACAAAATTCATGTCCACTCCTGCCTATTGCGTATGTCGCACACTATTTTTCTACCGTAAGGCTAAAACAGTCCAGCAAGCTCTAGTAAGCTGAAAAGGAAACCACGGTGCCCTGTACTTACCAATTCCAGTGTGTTTCACACTTTAGAAAAGGTAATCTCTAGGTATACTAAATACAGTGAGGGAGCAATAGCTGACTCACCTCAAATACAAAGTCAAAGACATTGTATCTCGGCTGGAGACTGTATCATTCACCGGCGAAGATACCATGTACCGGCGCTCAATAGCCCTTAAATAGCCAGAGCTTCAAAGAAACTTAAATTCGAAGGGAAGCGGCTTTCTTACACAGAGGCCTGTAAAAGCAGTAAACGACACTCGCGTAACGAAGAACTAAAAATTCAAGACCGCACAAACTGCAACGAATTAAGATGCCTTGCAAAAATGCAAGGAGCGTCAACTCTCGGTCCGAGGAATGGTCTTCTCGAAAAGTGGTCTCGGCCGCTTCCATACACAGGACTTAAATCAAAATTAAACTGCATCAAAAGGACTCTTTCTCTCATTGACACCAAAAACAAAAAGGAAGGAGATACCGGCAAATGTATGTACAAAACTTGCACTACAATTGCAAACTTATGAAATGACTTAATCATCAACCATGAATGGTTGTCCATTAGAGGTCACTTCAAAAGAGCAGCTGTGGCAGTTATCATCAGTTCTGAAAAACTGTCCATACCTACCTGCCATAATGACCGTTTAGTAAACTGTATTTATCTGCATGCTAAAGCGTATAAACCTGGAATGCAGGAGTATCTTCTTTGACAAAAAGTTTCTCCTTGTTGCAAACCAGAATTCATTAAAACTTCAGCCTGGCAACTTAAAGTCAAGCCTGGAAGCAAAGTATCAACTGTGATCAGAAGTATCTTCACTTCCTAGCTATCATTAAAAGTTAGCCTCCGCTCTGAATGTTATGCCGCTGCAGTCGATGGAGCTGCTTGACCAGAAGTTGGCGGCCTTCCTTTCCTTTTATTCTCTTTCTGTTTCTCCTTCCTCCGCAAGTTAGCATCTCTAAGAGTCTCGCCCGAGCGATAAAGTCTTCTGTCTCCAGATGAAAAGGAAGCTGGTCTGAGTGAAATAAACATTGGACCATGACTATCATCGTCAGAGGGTTTAGAGCACATGACCTCCGTGTCAATCAAAGCAAAGTTCTCTGAAAAATTACAGACGAACTCCTTCGTGCTCAATGTGGAATTTGAATATTCCTCTCCACTCATTGAATGACCCCATTCAACAATGGTAGACAAACATGTATCGCCAAGCTTTGATCCCTGGTACACTTCTTTCTCTTCTGTAGAGTATTCTTCCCAGAGTTTCTCAAAGTAATCTTCACACTGCTTGAGGACAAGTGAAGATGAACTGTAAAATGTTCTGGGAATAGGTGCTTTGATACCAGGATCTGCTTTTACACGGGCTTCTGAAAACCTGCGGATCCAATGCTGCATGGTGCTGTAATAATAGTTAGCCATTGGTTGCCTTTTGTACCCAGACATTCTGTAGGCCAAACTATTTGCATCACCAGAAATGATGTCCGCCTCATATACAAAACATTCATAAAGCATCAATGCTGTCTGTTCTCCTGTCAGTAGGTGGGCATCCACAGCACGATGTGTATCAACATGATAATTACAGACTCTGATGGTATGCATGTTCGCTCGAGTAAGTGGAACACGCTTTTCCTTAGGACCATAGTCCTCAAATTCATAGTCTGCACCCTTGAAGTCCTGACGAGGCCTTGTTTCTCCAAAACAAATCTCATAGATAGCCCAAGTTACATCACGCTGTTGACAGTGACCAAGGTCTTGGTCATGTCCAGCAATGATCTTGATATAGCCATCTGGTGCCAATCTAGCCATCACTGCAAGATTCTCCCAATCATTGAAACAAACTGTCCAATTCTTCTGCTCAATAAATTCCTTGGCAGGAACAAGGAGATGAGCTTCCTGGAGAATCACAACATGTGCACGTAAAAAGAAGAGCATGTTGAAGAAAAGGTTGTTTTCAAATTGCTCATATTGAAGTGACATGGCACTCTGCTTGCGTGGCTTCATTGCACGATCAAGTCCTTGGAGAAACTTTGGTGTGGTGTATTTCTGACCACGAACCATGTTGCCATAGTTCCAGGATAAAAATGTCAAGGACTCTGAGCTGGCCAATAAATTAGTTCCATATTGTTCTTCTATTCTTCCTTTGAGGAACCTTTGGCACAGCTCTTCATAGAAGGCGACAAAATCCCAGCTGGGTCCCTTGGGACCATATGCTTCCAGTTCTCCTCTAAACTGTTCCTTTGTAACCTCCAAATCTTCTCGAGCTTGTTCTGCCCTTTCAAGGGCCCTTGGTTCGACCTGATACCTGTCATCCAAATAAACGATGCGATCATCATTGATGAAAAATCTCTTCAGGTCATGCTCGCACCTGTCCTCATAGCAATCAGGTGGAGGTACTAGACAGACCTTTCTAATGGATCGAACAAAGTCGTCCTCGTTGATCCTTGCCTGATAGTGAGGATGGGAAAGCTCACCTTTTCTGAAACAAACATGGTTCAGCAATCTCGCGTGAGTTTCCCTGAAGCATAGTTGATAA